GTTTACTGCTAGGTGATAATTGATGAACAGACCTGCTTTGTCGTAGTGATATATGAGTCATTTGAAGAATAATTACTTGAGTAAAGGGTATGAGTGTAAGCTATCACGATGCTTCGAGATCCTCGCACGGCTTCAGCTATGGCTCGTACCGAATTCCTTCTAACGGTCTCCAGTACCTTTTGTTTCATGCTAAATATAAGAAGAGTCAGTCGCGTCCAGCCCTCCCCCCTATGCCTCGTAATTATCCATAGTCAAACATATTGTGATTCAAATTAATAAACGTCTGGAGGTTCGGTGCATCTCTTTGTAGTTGCCGTAAAATTTTTCTGTCAATCATGTGCATGTCTGCTATTTCGTAAAACGTTGCATATTATTTTGTGGGCGAGGACAGCTAAAATAATATCGGCTTTTTCCTCTAATTCTGTTCTAAACACCACCTCTTAGTGGCGAACGAAGACGTTTCCTATTCGAATCTGAATCTTTTTGATGATCCCTTAAAGTTTGGTTTAATAATCCCATACGCATAATAAAATGTCTATTTGTGTGTGTCTGAATGTCTTTCTTAAAACTCTTGAACCTTTTGTGCTGTCGTCTTGAAATTTTTAAATCGGGTGAAAAGAGCAATTTTAACCCACCTATTCCAAAATATCATTTAAAAATTTCAATCAGATTAATCTTGAGAGATGTTTGAATTCTCTCATTGGTTCAGCCATAGCCATTGTCATTAGTTTAACCTTCTGTTGATTTTTTTTCTTTTGAAATAATAAAATCTTAACGTTTCTCACTATCTTTCAACATTATTTTAGGAAAAAATTAGTTCTTTTGTACATTCTTCAATATTTAATTATTTTTTATTTGTTTTATCAGGTAAGAGTTTAATCATAAAAGCATACAATCTCACCCAATTTGTTTTTCTTAAATGACCTGGCGCCACATGCTTATTTTATTGGAAGTTACATTTTAGAAAATGTTTTCTCCGAAACTAAATAATTTAAAATCAGCAGTAATTAAAATTGAAAATTAAGTTGCGTACTAAAACTCAAAATTGATATAAAAAAAGAAGAAAAAACAGCCTTACTATTATTGACGCCAAAGATACTTAATTCAATTTGATAATTAGTAGTACTGATATTACAGTAATAAATGCTGTTTTAATAGATATTTCTTATATATGTATTGTGATAATAGGTTTTTATGTCCCCGAAAAGATTGAGTGTAGGATAAATTACCTGAAAAAGATAAATTTTGACTGCTCCAAGTTAACTGTAGGCAACGGTATGAAGCCGAATGAAATGAAAATGAATCTAATTACTTTTTGTTTTGATGAAATGAATGCTTTTAAACAGGAGCTTTGATTAATACAATGGTGTAAAGCCACTAGGTAGCAAGGATAATAAATAAATAAATAATTAGAATTTTTAATTTTTCCCAATTATGTCGGTATATGGGTGATTCTCACGAAATGTGACAATTTAGAGTCTCTTTCTCCAAGATCTAATATTATACTACTAAAAGAACTTCCTTTTTAAATTTCAATAAATAGCATTACTGTTAGTATTTTAAAATGACCGTGTACTAGCATTGACTGTTTTGTATATTTAAAAAATTTAACTGAATTTCAAAATGTAATTTTCCTGGTATGTTACAAACAATATTTTCAATAATAACTAGCTTCAAAATTTCCCATATGTAATTTTTTCTATCTCAACCGTTGTAAGCATTTCTAGAATACATGCAGAGGGTATTTACAAAAATTTTATAGAAAATAATTTTTTTTGTCAATAATTTGTTCGTCACAAGAAAATCTGTCATTTTCCTGGCTAGTTTTATTTAGTGATTTATAACCAAAATAGATAGCGCCAGCAATCAATATCTTATGTTGACAGATTGATTAAAATACCATCCTATCTGAACATGTCTTATTACATGAATAAAGAACCAACTTTTCTGGTTCAAAACCAATTTAAAATTTTTTCAAGGTGAGTAGTTTTTTACGTTGTCATTTTCCTGTCTTCTTGAAGTCATTAATAACATGAACTACATAGATTTGCCTGAGTCATTTCAAGAAATCCTGTTGTTTTCTGCGGAATGTAAACATGACCGAAACGTTAAATTGAAATAAAGTTAAATGCTATAAAATGGTAAATTGTCATTATCCTGGCTGCCATTTTCCTGGCTTATGAATGGCAGGACATTGAAACAGTTACCAGAATTTTTTTTAAACAGTGGAATACAAAGAGAGAAAGCAAATATTAACCTAATGCCAAGTTTATGTAAGATTGTAATATGCTTGGATGTAATCAAAGTTATTTTTTTAATGATAGATTATTGTATACAATTTTATTGTGTACACATCAGCAACAAAGACATTTTTGATTCCTTCTTCAGAGGATTTAAGAATTAATTTAAGCAATTTCTGGCAAGGGCTTAAGTTGCGTTACTTACTATTAGCTTAAAATAACTGTTCTTTTAACTTCTAGGTTAATATGTCATTTTCCTGGCATTTAAAATTTGATGAATTTCCATTTTATTTTTTTCTCTTGAGCAAATGTCAATAAACTACACAGCTGTCAGTAAGATATTAATAAATGTAACTAAATAAATATACAAAATAAATTTATAGACTGTGCAAAGACAACACTAATTTCAATACAATACAAAAGACTAATTTCAAGTCAATTTCAAGTTAATTTGATTAATTTCAAGAATTCTTTTGTTTCGAATTGTCATGTTTCCAAGGGATCACCCATATAACTTTCTGTTTTATGCATGATTTCGTATAGTTGATTGGTACCTATTCATTGCTTACCTACTTTTTCCACATCAAACGTTAAACAAGTATTTAGCTAGTATAAATTTAAATCCACTGTAACATGGGAAAATTTATAATCACTTTTAATTTACACAATATCCTAAGTATTTGCTAAATGCATTTGCATCTTCTCACAGGATCCTGAATGGTTAAAGAATCACTTAAAAATAATTCAACCCTTTTGTACATTCACAGAGCGAGATTTCTACAAACATGAAGCTCTGAATGGAGATTCTCCTTGAAGAGTTTTGTTTGCCATTTAACCGACATTCATAAAGAGAATCATTAGGAACGAGTTTTGAGATTCCTGTTGATAAGCATTAAACAAATAAATAGAAGAATGCATCAACAATTGTTAACACTTTGAATAAGTTTTACCGAGCATCTTATTGCTGAAATAGAAGACAGTAGATTGTTGGGGGGGGAAGGATTCTATTAAGAAATAATACAGTTTTTAATTGAAGGACTTAATATATAATTATAAACTCTTAAAAACTAGACAAGTGAGTTAAATCTTTAACTATGAGCGGTGTATTTAAAAAATATTTCTTTTTGAAAATTAATAAAATTAAGCAATTAGTTAACAAGCTTTTTTTCATGTAAATGTATAAGTTTTTAAGTCATAAAACTATAAATAAAACAACAGCAAATACTGTTGGGTTTAAAAAATAAATGCTATTTTGTTTTATTACTAAGGATATTATTTTTATTTATTTTCGTCGATTTGATCTTATTAGTTTGAAAAGTTAAGAGTGTGACATTAAGCGATATCTTAATTCAAGTTAAATAAAACTATCATGCAATAAAGTTTAAAAAAAAACTCAATTTTTGCTTAAAATCTTTTTAAGTTTTCTGCCAATTTTTGTATAATTATTGCTCATTATTTTAATAACGTATATGCATATTAAATGCTAATTGGAATAGTAAGTGGTTAAATTTAGCACACTTTTAACCTGTAAGTGTCCTTACTCACGACTATCCTATTTTTGATCAATGCTCTGTTATATTTATGATCTCAATAGTGAATTTTAGCTGTTAAGATGTTTCACAAAGCTCTTTATGCAATTTATTGGTTGGGAGAAATTATTAATTTTGCGCATAATGCATATAAAAATATTTTAAGACTTTTACTCCAACCAAAAAACAACAGTCCGTAAAAGAAACAACAAATTTTGAGTGCAATAACTTTCTTTTTAATAATAATTGGCCAAGTGAAGTCTGAAAAAGAAGATTATTAAGTTACTTTCTAAAATTGATCTTAATGCAGTAGAGAAAACCAATTTGAAGTAAGTTGTTTCTTAATGAAAAAAATCATCTACAGAAAGAATATTAAAGAACTATTATAGACTTTCAATTTTTTTGTAAATTTAGCATATTTGATGCTTAAGTTCCCTATTTTCTTCATAAAAGTAAACAAGCAAACAAAAATAGTTCTAAAGGAAGCAACAATAGTTTTGTATTTCATATTACACACAAAACAGTTCCTATCATGCATGGATCATTTAGAATTCAGATCACCCAACTAGTATATTTCTCATCAAAGGTAGAAATGGATGCAGTCAAAAAAGCAAATAATATAGATAAATTATATAATAGCTTAATTAAAAATTTAAAGTTTAGTTTCAAGCTGAAATCCTGTGCATGATTTGCGATATTTCATAAAGGAGTTTGGGAAATGAGAGTTAAGTCATTTTGCACCGAATGAGCCCATTTATTTTCTATACGAAGGAAATTTGTAAGCTTTAACATAAAGATACAAACTTTATAATCTTCATTGAGTTAAATAGTACAAACTCTGCCGTTTAATTTTATTTGAATATAGGAAATTAAGGATTCATATAAATATTTTATGCATTAAATAAAAATCTCCAAAACTAACTTTTTTTTGACATTAAAATGAAATGGCAAGGATTTGTTCGTAATAAATTTAAACGCTTTCTTTAAAAAAATAATACATAATAATCTTATACGCAAACTACAGACTCGTGCAGACTTGCACGAAGCATCTTAAAGTATTGCTCCATTTAAACTAGCCGAGGAAAAAAAAAGGAGCTTTAACTTTTATTTACGGAATGATTTAGAGGACCTTTTCTGCAGAATTCACAAATTTTCCTCCATCCAAATATTCCTTGTCACGAGCATAATTTGCAGATGGCGACACTGCACAGGATTTGTGATGGACGCGTTGCTAAGCAACGGAAGAAGACGGAGGAGGCTTTTCCCTCACTGCAGCTCTTCTCTCCACAGTTAGGATGCAGCAGCTGCATCAGATTGCACATCTTTCACGTGGGGCTTACTCCCCTTCATTCACTCATCTTTAACACATTGAACGCCAATATTGTGCCGTTTGATACATTTTGGATCCAACCCTATCTATTAAAGGATTATATATGTGAAATATAGAGAAATGTGTTAACTTCATTAATAGTTTAACGAAGATGTCTACTCAATATTTATAATGAAATCAACCATCTGCAGTGTTTAATGGATTTAAAGATGACACAAGTTGATATGAAATTCTTGAAAAAACGCTAACCATCTCGTATATATATAAATAGATAAACAGAGGTATAAATACAATTTTTTTTAAAAGAAGAAGTGTCGAAAATAATCTTTAGATAAGTATGAAGTTTTATTTCCGTAAAAATATGCCATCCCAAGTATTCAGGAACATTGTTAAATAATAACGACAGAATGGTGAAATTTCATATGAGTAAACATTACAATCTGTCGTTGAAAACTGAAATCTTTTGATTTTCCTTAAATTTCCTTCACTATAAGTTTACTAACATTCTAATCAGAATCTACCTCATTCTGTAATTTTTGAATTTGCGAGATTTCTAATCATATAATAGTTTACATTTTAAATTAAACTTCACTATTGGAGCGAATAATCGAAACGTTTTAAATCTTAGTTTCTGAAGAAATTAAATTTTTTTCTGCACAATCGCTAGTTGTCTTTAGTAAATTAGAAGAATGCTTTCCATTTCAAGGTTAATTGCATCGGTTTTGAAACCATAAAATTATATTGCAAAGACCTTCTTTTTTACAGATAATTGTAGATAAACTGTAGACTCTCTAATCTATTTTGTTAAGGATGTCATAAATAACTTTGAAAGCAAAGGAAGAATGGCGAATTATTTTGAAGCTCGTGAGACGTACACTCAAAAGTGCCAAAACAAAATTTTATAATGAGTTCTGTATTAAGACTTTCGTTTAAAGAAATACATGAACTGTAGAACTTACAAATAGTTATTTGGATATATAGTGTAGATATTATAGGTGATTAAAGCTTTACATTCTGTGAACAGTATTCTAACACCATGTTTTGGTTATTTAAAAGAAAGAAAGTTGCTGATAAAAAAGCCATTACTCCATGCGTATGTGATAATGGTAAGTACAAACCTATTTTATGAGTCAAATATAAACTAACACCATAACTTAAATATACAAAGAAATGTTTTACTATGGAGAATTTTGTACATAAGGTTGGATTTAGAAATGCAACATATAGTGTATTATTAAATTATAATTCTTAAATGTTAAAATAATAATTTTAAATTATAATTTACGAACTTTTAACAAATATAAACAGGTGCTGAAAAATCAAAGCTTTATATTTGCAAATTATTAAAAAAATTTTCAGCACTTTTAATAAAAATATTAAAAACATATATATATTGCTGGGATTACTAAGATAAAATTTCTGTTCAATTGATATGCAGCAATGTTTTGTAAAGGGCAAATTTATTGGACAGTAGTTACAGTATAATAAGAAAAGTGAAAGGCCATAAAAAAGGTAAATGTAATGCAGTAACATGTAATATATATATATATATATATACANTTATGTATATATATATATATATATATATAATTATGATAAAAAATAAAAGTACATGGGAATTACAGTACATGATTGCACAAAGCGTAAAAGCCGCATGTTAACACTAGTAACGCCGATGGGGTCATTTTGATCATTTGTACGAAAATATATGTAAGATCACGAAACTAATTTTTTTTTCTTTTACTTGTTTATAAGTGTATTTTATTAAAATTTCTCGCCTTTCTGTTGATCAGTAAAATAAATAATTGTAGAAATACCTAAAACATCCAAAATTTATAATTTTGATTGCTTTGTTTTATTTCTGTCTTGTATTTTGCGAAACTGCAAGCATTATGAAGCTGAATTACAGAACAGAAATTGGAGTTCACCATGTTAATAAAGTACCATGCTCAACCGTTTCGTGGAATTATATGGTATCATATACTCGATTGCCGAAGTAGCTTAGTTGAGTTGCTTTGCATTATAATTTCGATATTGCCCCTGAAAGCATGTACGTACTGATTATAAACAGTTATATGTGTTTTAATCCTTGACAAGGAGAAGGTATTGGCATGCAAGTAATAATGAAAATTCATTGTATGACGTTCAAACCACATAAATTTGATTTCAATTGATATAAAATTCAAATTTTGTTTCTGAATGGATGGTTACCTTTTCTTGTAAAAGTTGTAAAACAGACAAGTAAATTACAACCTGGAGAAATATAGCGTTTTGATTTTGGAACCTCTCCTAAATTTTATTCACAATGGAATTACTGTCTTTTACCACAGTAAAACTTGCAGATGAATACTACATTGCAGGGATACTGCGTTTGATCAAACAGAAATTTGCTCCTATTTCAGTATCACTTTTTCATCAAGACATTCGTTTTTTGCATTGTAAAATTAAAATGCTGTACGTACTGTATAGGTGCAAACGAAAAAGAATATTATTATTCTGAATGTGCGTGCAGAAGATAGCTCAGGAGAAAAGCATTTTCACTTACTGTGATAGTACGAATTATGACGTCGGCCTAGCAAACTAGATGCTAAGGGATTATTCTAAAAGAGGTGCAAGTTGCAGGTGTCTTGCATTTATTTATAATGTCTATGAGTTTGCTGAAGCACCACAAATTAATACTTTTTGCATCAGATAGTCTTTAATTGACGAAATTCAGTCTCTAAACTATAAGTCTTTTAACATTACGAGGATAAAACGAATGAAACAAGCAATTAGAAATTCTAGAAAACAATTTGTCGATATTTTATTGTTACTTTCACGGCAATATTTTCCATTGGTTAGGCATTAGCGTATACATATATTGTGTACGCTAATGCCTAACCAATGATGAAAATTAACATTTTAAAACATGTTGTGTACGAATATGTAATATTTGTATTCATTTCATTTGTTTACTTTTGTATTACTTGAAGTCTTGAGAAAGAATCTGTAATACAATAATACATTATATTGTAATATTGTCATTGCGTTCATAATAAATTTAATCTCTAAAAACCCTACGTATTATATTTTCAACAAACATTTAAAAAATCATTTACTTTGAAAAAAAATTTCCTATGAGGGTTAAATTAACCCTAAGTAGCGGTTTTAGGTAAATCAAAAATCTGGCTATTCTAATGTTAATACCTAATACATAAATATTAAAAAAAGAATAATAAAGTAAAAATATTCTATGTAAAAAAAATATTATTTCAAAATTTTATAAGAGAATGTTATTGCTTTAAAGTGCAAAAAAAATCAGTGTATAAATTATAGATTCCAATAAATTGCGTTTAAAAATCAAATATGTTTTTAAATTTAGCAAAGAATTATGCAAATTATTATGGTATTTTGGAGCCAAATAAAACATTTTTGTGAACAATTTCTTTTAAAGTGACGAATTTCGTTTTCTTCTCTTTACAGAAATGTTATTTCTTTTGAAACACAACAGTTTCTATTTTGATGAAAAAAAAGCGAAATAAATGAAAATTATTATAAACAGTGAATTTATATTTTTAAAGATAAAAGATTTGATATAGAAAACTTTAAAATTTATAAAAAAAGTAATTAGCGTTAATTTATTACTTTGTTGGTACATTACGTTTTTATAATTTACTAAAATGAATTAGAATAATTTCTTATTTAAGCTACATAATTATTGCAATTATATTACTTGATTAAAGAAACATTATTATCAGAGATATTAGTTAAAACATTCAGTTATATAATATTAAAAAAAATATTAAATTTGACAGCATTATTTGTTAACTTGAGAACAAAATTTAAAAAAAAAATAATTGATTACTGCAAAACTTTACTTTAAAATGAAGCGAAATGACTCGAAAAAAAAACAGTTATTTATCTAAATTTTAAATGCTGAAATTTATAGATTTACAAAATTAAAAATTACTTTTCTGTATCTTATAAAGCATTGTAACGGGATAACATTTTATGAGTCCCAAGCAATTTAACACATTTTTCTATTCTATTTCCACAAATTTCACTTTGTCACTATATCTAGCTTCTTTTATGAGTAAAACATATCTGTGGCATAACTTAAACAGAAATTATAGTGATTGTTAATCATATGGTATCATATTTAAACAGATATATTGAAGTTCAGGTGCTGAATTGGTCTTTTTAACGTTTTATAAGAGATCTACTTATTTTTAAAATTTTGGTTTTAGTTTGCTACCATTCATGAAAGTAATTTGCAAACAACTGAAATGTTGGTGCGTATGAATTGATGTGTTTATGGTATATCGATTAATTAGGCTTCAAATAGGCTTATAATTTTTTTTATTAGAATTCATTTAATAAAAGTCCGTTTTCACTAATTTTACATAATATTACACATACTAATATATAGATGCGTTTTCGAAAACTTATATACTTCCATTCCAACTAATGAAATTCTTGATGTTCTTCAAATTCATAGCATGTTTAATCTTAGTGATATTATTGATGAAGAGAACTGGAAATTTCTAGTTCACATTAACCTCAAGAACAATTATACTCTATTAAACGACTGCTTTCATCAGCAAATTAATGGTATACCCATGGGGAATAAATTAAGTACTAATGTTGGCAATATTTTTCTTTTTCTACATGAATATAGATTCGGGAAATCATGTGTTAAACTTTCTATTAATTCTTTATTTCGCAGGTTTATTGATGATCTTTTGGTTATTAATTTTATTGAGTTTTGGATACTTTTGCAAAACAAAGATATTCAATTGAATTAATTCTTAATAAAAAATAATATTGGTAACTCTTTAGCAATTTTTTTAGATTTATCTCATAATATTAATGAAGATAGTAAAATTACATTTAAATTTTCAGACAAAAAGAAACTATTTTAATTTTCCAATTTAAAAGAGCTTTGATTTTAATTCTAATTTAGTCAATGAGGTTTTCTTCCAAAATTATTACCAATCAGATTCATAGGTTTTACAAACATAATTCAAACAATAAAAAGTTTTTAAAGGAAACTGATAAACTTAAAAAAAAATTTAAGTAATAGACATTTTCCTAGTTTGTTTTCTTCAATTTCTTTTTAAAAATACTTTAAGCAACCGGTTTTTATTCTTTTCTTCTCAAAGATTTATTTGCTTAATGTATATATATAAAAGAAAG